ATAATTATTTTATTATAATTTAATAAATTAGATAAATTAATCAAAATATATAAACAACTTATTAGAGATAAATTAATGATCTGAATTATTGTATTATATCATAACAACTTTGTTGAGAGTGCTGTATGACACGAAATGCACGCTGATAGCATAAAAACCAAAAAATCCCAACACAAATGAATGCTATAATCAAGATTTTCAAGCATGCATTTGCTTTGCTGGATTATATTTCCAAAAACTTTGTCACTTACAATGACAACAAATGTCCGTACATGTTACAAGAGGTCACGAAATATAATGAAAGTCGAGTATGTAAATAATTTAGATAATACTATAAAAATATTCGTGTAATGCAGTGAGATACATTTTGATTTTAATGTTTCGTTTTATTCTGTCTCATGTCGATGTTATAATACGGTTTTATGTGATTTTGAGAGAAAAAAAAAAGATAATGTTTTTTGTTTTTGAATAAAATATAAATTTGAAAATATTTTAAAAATATCGATATTAGTATTAAATGAACTATTTAAAAGTTCTTGTTTTGTTGTGTAATTTTTTTTGTTATAACTTAATTTAGATTTAATAATAAAATAATTTATTTTTGATTTAATACTATAATTTTTTATAAAGATAATAATTAAGTATTCTGTTATAATACGATAATTATCATAATTATATTTTAAATTTTTTATATTTAAATGAGATGTATATCTCGTATTTGATTATGTTTATCTATAGTTATTTGCACAAATTCAAAAATAAAGCTTTAATAAGTTGTACTTATGCATAATTTACTTGTGATATTGAATTTTAAGTAATATGAATCAATAAACAGTATTTCATACATAAAAATTTATTTTTAAATGTTTTTGTTAAATGTTTTATAATATAATATAGATTATCCAAATAAAACATTGTGAAAACTGTTGCTTTATAAAATCAACCAAGCGATTTCATAACAAAACAATATCGATTTAATACAACAAAGCATTAAAAACTAATTATATATTAATTAATTATGTTAAAATAATAAAAATTGAATTTGAATATCTATGTTTCTTGAAGGGAAAGCTGGTCCAGCCATTCAGACGTTCGATGACTCTCCATGCCATCTTTCCTCCTTCCAACGTCACTTCCTTTTGAGATTCCCTTTTCTTTCCATCTTGTTGGTTTGATCATCGGAATCGGCCATGAAACCCTACTTTCAATCGTATTTGTAGAGCATTTACACCCACCAAACAACAATAAATGCTTCGTCGTCGTCTTCTTCTTGTTTTCATCCTTCATGCTTCCGAGGCTTCTTTGGCTCCGGTTCTTTAGATCCGCCAACCCGATTTCTTGTGGTTTCAACAGACCCAGCTGTAAAAAGCTCCATTTTGGTGATGGTTTCGGGTTGGATTGACGGTAGCTCCTGGATCGGATCTGTGGTGTAGGACTCGGGTGGGAATGGAACTGGTTTCGGTTTCGGTTTCGGATCATGGTTTTGTATCTGGTGAATTCGGATAGTGACGGACTGTTACTCCCACTGGTTCCTGAATTGTGACTGCGAGTGCTGCTGCTTCTACTGCTGGTAAGACTCACTGATTCGGATCTTGAAAACGAGACGGAGTCTCGGGTTTGGGTCATGAACCCGGATGGTAAACTAACCGAGTGTCGAAACGGCAGGATTTGACCTCGGAAAAACACCTCTTCCGCGCTGCACATTTGATTTTCCAGCAAATTAAAACCGACGCCATTGAAATCAAAGTCTTCTTCCTCTTCTTCTTGGTGTTGGTCGGAAAATTGTTTTCCGGGATGATCAGTTGCAGGTTTTCCATTGGCCAGATCGCACAGAGATAAAGCTTCTTCACCGTCGTCGTCTTCGTCGCTTTGAGATTGTGATAGTGGGTTTTTGAGTTGGTTTTCATATGAATGAAATCGAACCCAATTGTGAATTGAGAAATTTGGTGGTTCCATTAATGGTGGTGTTTGAATGGGTGAAGACGGTGGGTTGGGATTCTTATAGTGTAGGGGGGCAAGATATGTTTGAAATTGGAGATGACAAATGGAAGTGGGGCATATAAAAAAACAAAAAGAAATAATATTTAATTGGTCTCGTGTTATTTAATGATTGTTATAAAAGTAACGGATCGTTTATCAAATACTTATCCGGTTAAGTGTTTATCAAATCACATTATATTATCGGATAAATATGATAAAGACAAAAAATCTTACCCGATAAGAGCGAGACAAGGACCAAGAGTCTTACTCGGTAAGTGAGGGCAAAAACTCTTACCACGGTAAGTGTTTACCGGGTAAATTATTACATACGATACCGTTTTGATGAACTAAAATCTTGCCCGATAAGTAAATGATAGTGTTAATTTTGCCGGTAAACGCTTACCGAGTAAATGTTTGGTAAACGGCCCCTAAATTACATATTTGGTCCCTCTGTTTTCACTTACTGCTAAATTTGATACATCTTTTAAACTAATTATAATTTTGATCAGTGTAGTTCCTTTTACTTTCAATTTTAGTCCTTTTAACTAACTCTAATCAAAAAATTAGTTAACCTTTTGTCCTTTTCCTTTTTTCTTGATCAAAGAATAAATTACAATTTTCGTCCATGTAATTTATTTTTTTTCATTTTTGTCTGTGATAACCATTTTATTTTTCAATTTACACCCCTTATTATATTATTTAATTAATAACAATTTCAACTAAATATACATTAAAAATACCTATTTTATTTTATAAATTACATTATAAAAGTTTTTATCCATACCTTTTAGTATTGAATATTTTAAACTTTTATGCAATTTATATCTACAAATTCGTCTACAATAATCCAAAAAAAAATTTTATATTTTAAGTTGGGTTAACAAAATGTATCTTTTATTATTATTATTTATGTAAGATGAAAATCTTAATTTATCTATCTATATTAATAAAAAAAGGATACATTTTCATATATTTTATTTAATTAAATGTTTTTAGATGTGGCATCAAATAAAAAACTTTATAATATAACAGAAACTTAAATTTATCTTAATAAAAAATAAATTGCTAATTAACAACCACATAATTCATATGCTTAATCTTTAGTAGTATAAAATATGATTATAATAGTTTTAATAATTTAACTAAATTATTTAGTTTAATAATTAAACTATATTAATTAAATAATTTCAAAGATATTTGAATACTTAAACTATATTAAAATTAGAATTTAGTTTAATAATAAAACCATATTTGAAATTCAAAACTATATTTTATTTGATACACATTAATAAATATTTGATTAAATGAAATATCTGAAAATGAAATATTTTTTATTAACAAACACAGATAACTTTCTATTTTCATCTTACATAAATAAGAATGAATAATACATTTTTTTTAACCCGCCTCAAAATATAATATGTTTTTTTCCGGATTAATATAGGCAAATTTGCAGATAGATATGGGATAAATTGAATAAAAATTTAAAAATGTTAATACTTAACTTATTTTAATGTACCAAATAAAAATATACCTTATGTATTTTTAGTTAAAATTATTGTTAACTAATTAATGTAATAAGGGATACAAAGTAAAAAATAAAATGATAGAAAAAACAACCACAAGGACTAAAATTGTAATTTACTCTATGATCAAATATAACACAAAGAAAGAAAAAAGACAAAAAAAGATGTTAACTACATCTGTAACTAAAGTTATTTAGAGATTGTTTGACAGTTGATGAATGGTTTGGTACATAATAATTAAGTGATTAAGAGGTTCTCATGATATAGTTCAAAATGAAATATAACTGTTTCGTAATTGTCTACAATTAAATTAGACACTTAATGGTTAAGAGAGACCCATGATAAAATCATTTAGAGGGGTTTAGAACCATTAAGAGATAGATTTTTTTTTTGCCAAATAAGATTTATCTTTTAATGATTCAGATGTTGTCTATTAATAGAACTATTAAGAGGTAAGCAAACAACCCCTTATATTGACTAAAAATAAAAAAATGACAACCACAATAATCAAAATTTAAAAAAGGACCAAACTTAACGGTGAGTATCAAACATAATAACAAAAATGTAATGAATATATCAAATGGTTTTAATAAAATCTATTATTTTTTATTTTAATTATTTAATAATACGTAATTATTTTATTAAAAAATATACAAAAAGCCCTTAAATATTATTAAAAGAAATTTATTTTCCAACTTTTATCATAAATTAGAAACTTTCATACATTATTTAATCCAAAATTATTTTAGAGTGAATTATGGATTTGTATTTGCGTTTTTATCTTATTTTATCATATAGAAATAATTATAAATATACATACCTACAAAGCGGTTAGCACATCCTTTCCCCATAGTAATAAGGGTTGTTCGATTTATTTTCCATTAAGACATGTGTGGATAATTGTTTGTATAAATAATTAATTTTGTCTGCAAAGGGTTGCTCACAATCGAACAACCTTTTATAGCTGAACAAATAAGCTATAACCCTTATACAACCCATTAAGCTTCTTCCGAACAACCCATAATCTTTATATCGATTAATATAGTGTTTTACCATGAGTTGTTTTTATTAAAACGTTATTATTAGAATGCAGTTCAAACAAGATATGAATAAAAAGTCTAAACCTGATAAGCATAGGTCCAGTCCATGCCTTAAAATCTGATTGAACCGACTTTTTTTTTTTCATTACTTGGATTAAACTTGATTCCCTAAAAATATTATTATTATTATTATTTTAACAATTTGGATTGTGACACACCAGTTAAAACTAAATGAATGTAATGAAAATATTATTTTCTTTGGATCCGAATTCATTTACATTCGAAACCCTTATAATGACGACTCTAGAACATTCTTAAGGTCCCTTTGGTTTGCATGACTGTTTTGGAAGGATTTGGATTTCATGGAATGGGTTTGAAATCGTTGGTGTGTTTGATTTGTAGGATTTGAAATGGAATTTGATTTCATTATTTATAAATAGTTTATAGAAATACTTATAAAAATAATTGAATTACATTTTTATTAATATATTATTACAAAACAATTGTTATTCAACATTTTTAAACCTTATTGCATACAATCTTACGAAATCTCGTGAAATCCCAAGCACTTCCTAAAAATTTCAAAGTCCTATGTTTAAAGGATTTCAGTTAAATCCTAGGATTTCAAATCCGAACAGTCCAACAAACCAAATATGAGATTGAAATAGATTTAAAATGCAAATCTCCTAAATTCATTCTATTCCTTTAAGCCAAACAGAACCTTAGTCTTTTGAGTGTATAAATTAACTTAAAAAATCACAGTGGTCCAGAAAATGTATTATTTTATTTTTATATTAAAGAAAAAATAAAATTACTTTTTTTCTTTTTCTTTTTGTTTATGGTTTTGTTTAAAAGTAAAACGGCGGTGGAGCATGGCGAGAGATGCGACATCCATGTGAGTCATGGTAGAGGCTCTTGGTCAAATCATGGTATGAGACCCCTCCCTCCCTCCCCTCTTCCCTCTTCCCCTTTCCTATGCCTCTTTTTCGTTTTATACTTCTTAAAAAGGGAAAAAAATCATTACATATTTTTCTTTGATTAACCTGGATATCCAACATATTATGTGAGCCGACTAATCCCAAAATAATCATCTGTTTTACAGATAGTCCAAAGTCATCATATTTGAATCTCTATGAACACAAGAGGATTTTTATTCAATAATAAATAGTCATATTTAGTCCTTTTTTACCTACTGTTTTTGCAAGTGCTTGAACCGCAACTTATAGAAGAGTGTTTGAAGAACCTCTACATGTACCACCTCGCAAGAAGCTCTCCATGTACCACTTTCGCAAATTCTAAGCAGGGACGAACCCAAAATTTTTTTTTAAACGGTGGCACCATTTGACCATAAGAAAAAAATATATGAATTTTTTTTTCAAATGGTGACATCGTTTGACTATAAGAAACAAATATAATGAACTTTTTTCAAACGGTGGCACCGTTTGACTAAGAAAATGACACTAACATGATTCGAACTTGGGTGTGGGGTAGAATAAAAGCATTACAAACCAATTCTACCAAATAAAACTTGTTCTCATTGTAGTTTCAAAATACATACGATGACACACAACAAATTAATACGGTTGCACCGTTCACGAAACCTAAATTTTTTACTCTTCGGCGGAGAAACGATACGGTGGCACGTGCCACCCATGGCACCTATGTAGGTCCGCCTATGATTCTAAGGATGGCACCTCCGCAGGTCTTGGGGTTTTCCCACCCCTCACGAGTGATATGCTCGTTGCAAGCACTTGAGTTTGTTTTAGAAAATGTCGTTTCACAAGTTGCGTCTTGGACACATGCAGAGATGTTGATTTTCTTAAAAAGGGGTGAGAGGAATTGGTAAGAGGTTAATTTGGTCGACCAAAATGTCGATTTTTGTTAATTTCTTATTTTAAAGTTAATCATTTTAATCCATAATAAATAGTGATTAGCAGAAATAACTTTAACGAAGCATGTAATCTGATGATCATACCCTTGCTAAATTTGTATGTTTGGAGTAATAATATAATTAAAACCAGGGGTGGACGGAGGCTTTGATGGTACAGGTAGGGGTCAGATCATCGAATCTAAAATGTTTACAGAAGCTAATTTTTTTGAAGATAAGTTTTCTATTGGACCACTAACCCGAACATGCTAAGAGGCCCCCAACTATCGGATCTAATTTCCTTTTAGAGTTTAGTCGGTCCATTAATCCATTTACACACCTACTCCACTCAACCACTCAAGTGACCAATCTCCAAAGGATTTGTCAAGTTGATTCCACGTGATTCATTTTCGCAGTACAATGTACCAAATTTATTGAAGTTGAGTGAGTTGTATTCTTATGATTTTAGTCGTATAGAAATGATTGCTCTTGGGAAACAACTTAACATGTACTATGTGACTGTGCATCAAGATGAAAGTTTGT